AGTGTGATGAAATCTATTTCGAGCTACGGACTTGAATCAGGGAAAAAAAAGGACGGTTCACCTCTTTTCCCTTTTATCGCCGCCGTGTTGCATTCATTATTTGACGTGAGGTCCTCAGTAGCGCCTGCTTCCAGTGACTTCGAGTTTTTCTGATGAGATTTTTGAGTGATAAGTGACAGTGCCGGTTCGAAAAGTAGCTGGAGTGAAGATAGCGATTCGGTGAAGCCAGAATGATTTTCCTGCATAGCCGGCCTTGGCATTTCACAGTCAGACTCTACAGGTGAAGACTGGCCACAAGGTTTCAGGTAAGCGTTCAGGAACGACGTGGAAGACGACGACTGCGTCATTGCGGTTGGAGTTAGTGGCAAGTTTATAGGAATGGGCTCTGGAATTTCAATAACACAGGATTTTGCTGTAAAGTGTTTAGAAGGGATTGTGACTGTCACTATAGGCATCACAGTGGACGAGTTAGCACCTGGGTTTGTCAGACTCTCTTCCTGTGGGATTCCGACCTCAGGATCTTTGCGGCTGCAACACCTCCTACACCTCTTTCTGTGGAGAGACAGTGTAAAGGATAAGGAGTTTACACGGGATGCCAACATATCATCATTATCATCACCGTCACCCTTATCGTCATCGTCATCGTCATCGGCATCATTATCATCATCATCATCATCCTCATCTTCATCCTCACCCGGCCTGTCCGTATAATCTCTCATTTGGTGATCCTACCTATGACGTAAACGTGGTCAAATTATAGAGAGATTATGTGGGCAGGTGGGTTACGTTACGTACTTGGTGTCCCCCACCTCCATATAAACAGGCCCTCGGTACCAGAATGGGCTTTTGAAGGAGGACAAAAACACTATGCTAAAGCGCAAGAAACACATTGCGCCAGGACGAAAAGGGTGATGTCCTTAGATGGTCGTCATACCCCAAAACGTTTCTTGCTTCCCAGCGGGGCGGTTTTGCACCACATGACTGACCATCTGCAAAGATGCGCCGTATATGGCGAAATTTTCTTACGGTTGGTTTCACGCCGAAAGTCTGGAACTAAACCTGAGTACGTTTTACCCAAACGACAGAATGGAGCACTATACAAAAACGAAAGTCACGTAGTTTGGATCCGCTATAGAGTGATCTAGAGTACCTCTAACTTTTCGCTTGATAAATAAACAAGAAGGCGTTACATGTAACTATCATACCGGAAACAGTAGACGAGTCCAGCGGCAAGGACCACCAGAAAAAATACACCACATGACGCAATTATGATTAGATTCTTTCCAGACAACAATGTAGCGCTGGAATCATCCTCTTCTAGTTTTACTGTGTCTTCAGCAGCGATGATTTGTCTTTTTCTCCGCCGACGTCTTCCTCCGTCAGGTTTATACTCCAACTGGACTGCATGCTGATTCCATCTCAGCCTGGACAGATGAAATTCCTGGATACTGTAGTCACCGTCACTGTCAGACATTTTTTCAGATTCAGTGGTCCGCGAAAAAAAATGTTCTCTGTTCAGATTTTCACGTCCGTTTAAGAGCTGGCCGTGAGTAGATGATTGGCTTGTTTTCTTCTGAAAAGCTTCCACTTCTGCTTTATCAATGACACCTGCAACGGTTGGTTGAAAAAGTGTTAGAAATAAAAAGTAACTGCTCCCAGTTTAACGCAAGCACCGTAAACTATTGTTTGCTCCAGAATGGAGCGGGTCTTAAACTGCCAATATCAGAGTTATTTGAGCGCTATTTGTTTGTCAGATAAGCCAGTGGCCAGTCCTGCGCTTTAAGGTCTCGTTTTCCAAAAATAACAGTTTGTATCTCGATTACTTATGAAGAGAAAATCGTAAACGTAATGAATCGCGGAACGAAACACCACAAGCTTGCGTGTTTCTCTTTTTGCCAAAGTTGCGGGCTGACTTTCCCGGCCTTTAACAATGGTTTTGAATTGTGGCAAAAAGTTAACACTAACGTAGGTCTTACCTTTGCAAAGTGTACTGGAAATAAGCAAAAACAGTACAAACAACACAGGTTTTTTTCTCTCCATTTCTCTCTCAAATGAGCGCACGTATCAAATACTACTAGCTAAAGCATTGAAAGTTTTAACAACTTACGTCACAATTATACTTTTATTGTTCGATGGCGCGCTTATTTCAGCGCGCGCGTGCTGCTGTCGGTCGATGTCGTGGAAACGAGGTTGGTCATCGGTAACGCGGCTTAACTTAGCTTTCTATGAATCTTCCCCATTTTTTTTAGCTAACATTCGTTTTTTTTTGTAAACAGTCATCGTTTGCTATGAGGACAAGACGCTGTCATCAGATCTTCAACAAGGCAACGTAAGTTTTAATATCTAACAGAAAATTATCATCCTTTTCTTTGATGGGTCTACATAATTGTCAACATTGTTTTTGTGTTTTCTTTCTCCCTTTCCAGCTCGCGGGATAATACCCTAAAGAAGTTCCTTGAGGTAAGTTGTTGGAATCTTCCTTTTTGTGAAGTTTAAAAAAATTGTATACTGGAAACGAAGAACTGAAAATTGTTCCGGAATATTTCGGCTGAATCGATCACCTATTATTATCCAAAGGTGCGTGGTTGTATAGCACTCACGTGACCTTAGGACTGTTGCATGACAAGAGAACTGTATCGTAGATATTCTTTGGCTGCAGATTCCCATCCCTGTTAACAAAGAGTCTTGTGTTAAAATCATCTCACCGAGAGGAACTAGGCGATCTGTTAATCACAATTTGCCTTGTTTTTCTTTCTTTTTTAGGACGCTACAAGGCTGACAGACAACTTTCTTGATGTATGCAACAAGGATGTGCCCAAAGGTCCCTCTAAAGACAAGCTCAGTATGAGTCATGATTTTGTCGTGTTTAAGAGACTCGTATCTAACCCGTAAGTTATTACATCTGCTACTATTAAAAGTTTAAAATAGATGATATTTAACGAGCTGTGAGTGGAAATTTACTTAAATTCAATAAACGAGATGCCCGCTCCTATTCTGTGTTTTGTGATTATTTAGATTAGTTACAAAATATTTTATAATCTTTTCAGTGTGATTAGAATATAAAGTTCATTTTCTAGACAGGTCGGTGTTTAAAATTTGTGCAATTTTCACAAGGACCGCCTTATAAAGAATAATTCAACACATGAAAATCACCTACAATTAATTAATTAACAGAAGTTCACTAATACCTTTTTGTTTTCAGAAATTTCAGTCCCATAGTTGTTCCACTCCAGTCCTCCATGACCGTCACGCTACCTTCAGGCGCCGGAAGTCACCATGACCACAATCCTTTCCCAGGCTCCTTGGCTTGTATTATTGGTTTTGAGGATACGGTCAGTTCACATTTCTTTAAAACATGTTATTGGGTTGTGATACTTTGCGTACGGTTGTCGATAGCGACAACTTTTCCTTCCTGAGAATAAGTTTATTTTATTTTCTTAACTAAATAAACAATACGTGCTTATTGATGCAAGAAAGGTGTTTCTTTTGCGTCAGCTGGTTTAAGGCCTGGAACCTAGAAATCTTAGGGGGTCGGAAATTCGGAAAACCCTTGGAAGATCCGATCGCTTGCGCGGAGCTTCCGAGCGTCCCCGAAGATTTCTCGGTTCCAGACCTCGCACCAGCTGACCGAAAAATTTAAACTGGTTGTCAAAGAAAGCACATTTTATGAAGTAAATAGCGAGTGATTTTGTTGTTGTTGTTGTTGTAAGGAAAGGACACAAGTTAGATTCAAGTTTGAAACGTGGATATCACGTAACGTGGATATCAACTGTTCTTAACACTGTTTTATAGTTTATCTTAAATTTCCAGGTTATAACTTGTTTGTTTATTTACTTATCCATTCATTTTTAATTTTGAAATTTCCAGGTTGATGTTTTACAGTCTCTTCAGAAACCAAAGAAGATTACTATCAAAGGCAGTGATGGCAAGACCTACACCATGATGTGCAAACCTAAGGTTAGTTCTTTCTGTGATCAGCAAATTATTTTCCCTTTGAGTAAAAGTGCATACTCGTGTGGGTACGATACATGACGGAGTAGTCATGGCCTCGCGCTTAAAATCCCCGGAGTTTCAGTGTTCGAAAACCTCTGGCACCACTACCGCTGGATTTTTTTTCTCGGTTGCCTTAGTTTAACTTCTCAGCCATCCTTGTAAATAGCCAATTGTCTGCCTCCTGCGGGAAATGTTTAATCTCGTTATGTTCCCTTTGAAATGTTTGTTTTAATAAAGCGTTTCACATTGACGCTGGTTACAACCAACGGTTAGGGAGTGCAAGTGTGCTCAATGTGACAAATCACTCTAGCTCCAACGCTTTGCTTTGCGTAAGTTTCCTTTGTTAGAAGGTGTAAGCGCCCGTGATCATATTACGTGTCATCAGCCTTTTTGGTTCTATGCATTCCATTCACTCTCAAGTGACGTCCAAACGGCTGCGTGGGCGCATGCGTAATAGCGACCTGGCCCCAGCTGTTTAAAAGATGGGTAGCGCTATTCAATGGATAAATCTCTCTCCACTGGATAACGCAATTGGTTTCCCTAATACTAGATAGCGCTATCTATTAACCGTGGCCTGTAGATTAGGATTACAAGCTCCTCTGGTCGCCAGCAATTTTTAAGCAAGTATGTTAGTAGAAGCAACGGTAAATCTTTGTCGTCGCAAACTTTTATTTATCCCGCAGTGTCTTAACGTAGGAGGAAAACCTGTATATTTGTTTCTTGTAGGACGACCTTAGGAAAGACTCGAGAACGATGGAGTTCAATGCTCTTGTAAACAAGGTTCGACATATTTTGTTTAGCATGTTTTAATACTCGGGGTCTGCTTTCGACTGTTTCACTTTTCGTTTTACCGTCTAGATAAACATCTAAACATTTTGCTCTAAAACAGTGTCAGTAACACATATTGACCGTTGTAGATATTCGCCCGGGACGGGACGAGAAGGGACACTGTCCTGTTGCTTTATGGGACTGTATTAATCTCGTACCCAGATCTCACTCTGTCTTACGCGGGAGATCTGGGTACGAGATTAGGAATATACTTGTGAAATACATGTTTTGGGGGACGGATTTTTATCCAGTTTCCTTCGCAACTCCGTACTTGCCAATGAAATCAGCGATAGCACCCACAAAATATTCCCATTGTGCAATTCGACACGGCACGCACCCAGTCTCACGCTTAAACTGCAAATGTAATTTTTCTTTTTTGGATTAGGGAAGGGGGGATATGGGGGGAGAAGGGGTGGTGATAGACGTGAGAATAGTATTTTCCTGCGTTTGACTTGGTAATTAGCAGGAAAATATGCTCTCATCGGTATCTTATGTTTGTTTAGGCATGTGCGCGGGTATGTGGGTAATTAGTAGGGGTATATATTTGGGTGTGCTGGTTTTGTCTTTCATCTCGGTCTTGCTGTTCCAGCTTTAAGCGAGCCGCACCCAAGGTTTGTGTGTTTTCTCGTTGGGACAAACTGAGATTTAGAGGAGAGCGGAGGTTATACTTCTACTTTTGTAAGAATATTAATAAAACAATGCGAGATGAACTGTTGGTACTTGAGAACCGACACAACTGATATGGCTCAATTCCTTCTAGTGTCTGCGAAAAGATCCGGAATCCCGAAGAAGGCAACTTCATATCCGTACTTATGTAAGTCTTTTGGTGCTGAACTAAATTTTAGAAGGGTACACACTCTAGACATCTTGCTAATGAACAGTGACTAACCCTAGATATTTGGAGAAGCAACAGTTAGTTATTGTCTAACCAGTGAAAGTGTGTCTTTACGTAGATCTGGCTAACTCCAAATTAGTGCGGGGAGCCGGCTACGATTTCATAATCGATCATCCCAGTCAGAAATAATCGGATTAACTCAATCGATCGATCATCGATAACAATCGGAAAAAGCTCTTAGACGTCCATTCATTTTTCATCTGTGAGCAAATCAAAGAAATTTAACCTTTTCATTTTTTTTTTGGAACACTCATTTTGTTGCCGTGTTTTAGCACACGACAAAAACACACGAAATATATCAAAAAAGGGTTGAATCGTCATCAGGCTTCCTTTGAAAAGACAACACACCAGTTTCAAAAATGTATTTTTTAATTTTCTGGAATACTCGATTGATCATTTCTCATAATCGATTACTGCGGCGCGTAAGGTTGTCGATCAGCGACCGATTATAATCTGTGATCGCCACACAACTACTCCAAATGACGTTAGATTTTTTAAATGAGTTTACTCGAACGCACGTAAAAGGCTTTGATAGCTCTCTTATTGTCTTATTATTTGACGGTGTTTTCTTTTCAGGCGGTGATTCCTTTGAATGAGGAATGTGGCCTGTTGGAATGGGTACAGAACACACATGGATTGAGAAATATTCTCACTAAAATTTACAAGTATGTGTTGTTTTAGTCTTGTTTCTTTGTTTCTACGGTGTTTCAATTAAGTGTTTTTGTAAGCATACCGCACCAGGGGTATTATTGACAATTATTGGACGAGGTTAAGCAGAATATCGTGATTTGTCAGTGGCGGGCCGATCAGATCAACTATTTGCGGCAGCCGTAGTCTGACAAATCGCGATATTTTGCGGCAACCGAGTGCAGTAATTGTTTTACCATCCAATCAGCGAGTTTGTTTTTTAATGGGTATATTCAGGAAGCGAAGCGATCTGCCATTTTCACGAAAGAGCGATCTTAAGAAGGAGAAAAGCGTGGTTTCATATACGCCTAAGCAGAAAGTTATTTGCAGCCAATTCGTTGGACGACATTGAGTATGGTCAGACCATTATTTGTAGGCAGTTATTTGCAGGTCACGTGGTGGGCTGTCGGCCAATGAAAAAGAAGAACAATTTGCATCGAATAGTAAAAAGCGTTATGCCAGGTAGTATAGCTACGACTGCTTTCTTTACACAATGAAAACTTGTTATTCCACAGCGCGCGGAGATGTACTGAAAATACAGAACTGTTAGTTTTGTTTTGTGTACATCACACATCTCTCTTTTTAGATCTTTACCTCTTCCCTTTTTATTATTATTGTTTTTGTTTTCTTTACAGGGAGAAAAACATGTACACTAGAGGGGCTGAAGTAAAAAAATTAATTGACAGAGCGGGAAACAAACTAGAGTAAGTTAAAGGTTTTGTGTATTTGTCTGTGTTGTCGTCGTTGTTTTAATAGGGGTTCCGATAGTCTTTATAGTATTAACGGTCAGGTAATAGACACCCCACTCTTTGTAACCCCCCGGGGGGGGGGGGTTTATAGTCTTTATAGTATTAACGGTCAGGTAATAGACACCCCACTCTTTGTAACCCCCCGGGGGGGGGGTTACTTTAGGAATTTCTGGGTGGGGATGTGCCGCTGGGACCCTGGAACCCTTAACCTATACCAGAGCTAGTTCAGCTAAATTTTGCTATCCTATACTAGAGTAAACTCCCAAATTCCTCCTATCCTAGGGTAGCTGTTTCCCTAGTCTAGATAAAATCTTCAACCAACTGATCAGTTTGCTGAAAAATGATACCCTATTCTAGACCCAAACGTTCTGATTTATATACCCTATCCTAGAGTAAACTGCTTGAAAACCATACCCTTCACAGCGGCACATACCTATATAGCCCATATATGACAGTACCGCTCCCCCCTCTCCCGGGTTGTAAACTTCCTTTTTTAGTCTTGTTTTCTGGTGTTATGTTGTTCATTGCTATGATTTATATATGTTTTTTCTTTATTATTCTAGGGACAAAGTGCGCGTGTTCTTGAACGAAATTCTACCAAAGTATGTGAATTACTCAAGCTGGTAGTCAGAGCGGGGCTTAAAGCCGGCCTGAGTTCTAACCAGTCTGGCAGACATTTGTGTAATATATGTATATTGCGAATATGGTATTCTGTGTCATGAAGTTTGAGTAATAGTGACTTTTTTTTCCTCAGACATCCTTCAGTTTTTCATGAGTGGTTCTTAAAGACTTTCCCGAATCCAACTTCATGGTAACTATACAGAAACACTTCAGGCTTCAGCCGACTTACTGGAGAAAATGCTGTCATTCTTGTTTTATTCTAATCGGAGAGTTACGTTATAACTCGTCAGGGCTAGTTGTACCCAGTTTTGGCGAAGTTTGCTCTTATTGCGTTTGTACAGTGCAACCAACCGTCTGTTCCTCTACAGGTACATGAGCCGCCTGGCATACTGCCGTACCTCAGCGGTCATGTGTATGGTGGGTTATATCCTTGGTCTTGGTGATCGCCATGGGGAGAACATTTTGTTTGACGCTAAGTGTGGAGACTGTGTACATGTAGACTTCAACTGCCTCTTTAAAAAGGTCAGTAATGACTCCAAAGGAGGGAGTCTACCAAAACACGATTTAAAACTCTCTGCTAAAGGGTACATTAAAAAGTTTGAGCCTTTCGCAAAATGATTGAGTCACTTATCATCCAATATTCATTCTTTAATTTTCAGTATAAACATGTATAGTTTTTTTTTTTAAATTTATCATTATTTTCCAGGGAGAAACCTTTGACTGTCCTGAGCGAGTGCCATTTCGACTGACGCACAACATTGTTAATGCAATGGTGAGTAAATGTTTGAGAAAAATAAAGTATGCTTGGTCTGCATCTTAAAAAGCAAATTGTGTCAATTTCTTTTATTATTCAACTTCATTCAGTAGAGTACTGTACATACAAATAACACCCAAAATGAGTACAACTATCTCACAGTATTTGTACCCTAGAAAACCGGTTGGACAGCTTTTCTACAAACTTCGCACATGGCAGAAAATGCATCGTTTCCCGAAGAAAATAAAGAATTGGAGCCAGATTGTAAGCTTAAATAAAATCGAGGTTCTAGAGAGACGTCGCCTGAACAACAATGAAATTTCGACATTTATTAGAATTTTTTACAACATGCAAACTTTATAAGCTCAAAAAAAAGCAAGGAAATTGAAAACAGACCTGATCGTGTTTAATAGAGATATGGTGATGGTGGAACTCCGTGAAACAAAAGATGTCCATTAAAAAGAAAATGTCCGCCGACGAACTGAACAGTCTTCTTCTAATTTCTCTACTATGGGATGAAACTTCACATGGTAGACTCCAGACGTTCTCCAAAGAATTTTTGTTATTGTTAATCCTCGCGAAGTTGAGGTTTTATGGCTGTTGTTCACGAGTAGCTCTTTGAAACTTCCTGAATTTGTGGAAGGTTTTTCGTCTTTCCATCGCAATTTGCCCTGCTCAGTTTTTCTACTAGTTGTCAGTTTTAGTAAAATCTGGAAGACCATCGCAAGCGTGTAATCAACACCGTCATCACTCTATCATCATCTTCATTTGAGTGCATGTCTAGAATAATGAATCAGAATGAATAAATAAATTCATATGCTGGTTAAGTATAGGGTGAAAAAAGCTCCTTTGGTGATATTGAAAACGATAGTAATTGCTTTAAAAATTCCAAATATCAAGTTCGTTAAAACACGGAAATAACAATTTATTTTGAGCGTTACTCTGTATGACGGTCCGGGTAGCACTTAGTCTCCTTAGCAGCTGCTCGGGCTGGAGTCAGGCAATGCTTCTTGCGCCCATCACGCGGAGAAGTGCGGCTGCGAAGGAGACCACGTAGCACTGAAAAATGAGTGTGATTTTCAGTTGAGGTATTGGAATTTTTTCTTTTTTGGATAAAGGGTCCTCTTGGCTGTGAAGGTGATTTCCGGCGTTCTTGTGAAGTGACACTCAGACTTCTAAGGAATCAGTGTGATTCATTACTAACGTAAGTTGCCCCCTGCCAGTTAGGATTTTTAATCCCGTTATGTTGTGTTTGAATTATTTGTTTCTAACGATTTAAGTGGAGTGCCTGTAAAGTAGCTACAATCTTGGACAAAACTGTTGAGAAAATTGTATACTTGGACAGCATTTTTCTAAAAATCGTAGCTGTACCGGTTCTTCCCTCTCCCCCTTCCCCTGAAAGCAATGTTGTTGTGTATTCAAAAGAAAGCCTGATCCCTGGGCGTTTGTGGGAAGCAACATTGAATCGGGGGAAGGGGTTTTCTTACCGCAAAGGCGTCGTTTTGGAAATAGTTTTGTTGCGTAAGAAAGTGGACATGATGGAGAAAACTTTCTCAAGTAGTTTTGTCCGGGATTGTATTTGACTGGGAAAGGCGATTTGCAGCCCTTAACGCAGCCAAATAAGCCTGTTCTTTATAAATGTAGTACATTTCAAAGAAAAGTAGATAATTAATGCAAAATGAGTGAAAAACAGAGGCGTTTATGACAAGAAAACCAATTGGTATGTCTGCCTTGATTGGAGTGGTCAGTCAAGAACGTTTGCGAAATTCATTTTCCATGCATGGTTTTTACGCGCGCTTTGAGTGAAGAGTAGCGGGCATACATTGCGCTTTTCCAGGACGAAAAGGACGTTTCCGTCAAGCAGATTAGTCAGAAAATGGCAATTTCACCCACTACGATTCGATCAACAAATAGCACATGAAACTTTGCTGAATTTTCAGAGCGCGTGACCCGACAACTTTGAACAATTTTCCCATCGCCGAAATAGTCAATGGGCAAGCACTTGCAATGAATAAAAGCATCAAAATGGAGAGAGGATGAAATATTTACAAAAGCTGCATGTGTACTTTTCACATTTGAATGCTTACTTTGAAACTGTAGCGATATCCAGTCCAAAGAAACACACTATGAAATCTAGAAATGTCACGCGCGATAACGTGAAAAGATGTACTATCGCGTGACCTGTAAATGTGCACGTTTTGTCTTCGGGTTACATATGACTGGAAACAATTATGACCTAAATTGGTAATTTGTAAGCCAAAGCATGATAAAAGTTGCCACAGTTGCCTTCTAATCTTTTTCTCTCCACAATATCTGCAAGTCGGAACGATTAACAGGACATTTTTGAGCGGCTGCGAAGATTAGCAACGGTTAACAACGATTAACAGGGAAGTTAAATAAGAATCAGAAGGTCATTCTCTATTGAAAACGAAATGGTGTTAACCGTTTCAATGCTTTGTTAATCGTAATATTATTCTATCCATGGAATTATCATAAAAAGTTAACCGACTTTTAACGAACAAAGTTTCTGTAACACCCATAGTTTAACCAATTATAAGTTCTGAGAAGCAATTTCCACGTGACGGGAAACGGTTCCATATCGGATTGACTATTATGTCCCTAAATAAACACTACGAACTCCTTTTCTTCGAAGAGAACCGTCATACAAGTCTTGTTCAGACTCTTCTTAAAAAGATAAATTACTTTTCACATTTTCCGAGCCTTTCATTCCGGAGCTACAGGAAAATATGTAACAATTAGCACGCGTTGTACGGCTATTGCAAAATCTGACTGTTTTAAAGAGGGTGCTGCAAAAAACGTATATGAGGTCTTGCTTTTCTATGAGAAGATGGTCTGGCGTGAAACTTTGTGCTCAAAACAGCTTCTGTAAAGCGCTTTTTATTAGCACGTTTTTGTTTTGTCCTTGCAAATATTCTTGCGAGAAAACGCGAATCACCTTGTACACAATCTTGGACAAAACTGTTGAGAAAATTGTATACTTGGACAGCATTTTTCTAAAAATCGTAGCTGTACCGGTTCTTCCCTCTCCCCCTTCCCCTGAAAGCAATGTTGTTGTGTATTCAAAAGAAAGCCTGATCCCTGGGCGTTTGTGGGAAGCAACATTGAATCGGGGGAAGGGGTTTTCTTACCGCAAAGGCGTCGTTTTGGAAATAGTTTTGTTGCGTAAGAAAGTGGACATGATGGAGAAAACTTTCTCAAGTAGTTTTGTCCGGGATTGTAGATAAGCTAAGAGCACTTTCCACTATAAACAAGCCTTTAATTCTTTAAACTTTAATTATCATCATCATCATTTATTTGCCTTGTTTCAGTACAGAGCAAGTTTACGGCTAAATTTGTTTTAGCGAGGAAACCTTATAGAAACCACTAGGCTTAAAAAACAGAGGCCACCTCGAATTTAAATACTATATTTACAAGTAAAATAACAGCTGCGCGTGTGCGGCTTGGCCAATTCAGGATCATTTGAGTTAAAACTCTAACAAATTTTTCTTAAAGCTGGAAAGCGTTGTGAACAGGTAATATATATAGGTGCTAAGAGAGAATTCCAAAAATTTTAAGAGAGAATTTCAAATTAAACTTGTAGAGGATCCACTGAAATTTATGTGTCATCATAACAGATTAATTAACTGATGCTGTTAAGTTAACTCAGTTGATAGAGCGCAGGTCTGCAAAGCGGGGGGCCGTGGGCTCATCCCTTGTCTCTTGTCCCGTTGTCCCGACCGACCTGAAAGATAATTGGTAGAGCGTTGCACCGGTATTCGCAGAGGTTTCGAACCCAAAAATTGCGTCAATAAATGCGATGATCTTTCCTAAATTTTGCTATGGGCCAGTAAGTTCAAAATTATTGGAATGTTATTTTTGGTCATGCACGGTCAAGTCAGAGTTTATTTATTTATTACACAGTGTTCTTCGAACATTCATTTACGATCCTCTCGTGGAGTGGCAGAAAACAAGAGGGAGAGAGTTATTGGCCGAAGCTTCTAAGAACAAAGAAACTGGAGAAGTCACGAATGAGGAAGTAAGTATTGATCCTTTTCATTCATTCCTGCAACAGTTTGTGGTGCGCAACAATTATTACTTCCGTTTATAATATCGCCATTAGGTCATTGTCATAGTAACTTACAGTGTATCCATGGCGGCGTTCACACTTAGTGCTCGGGCAGGGTGCCCGAGTAGGGTACTCGCTGGGGGATCAATCTAGGTTTCCGGGAAACTGCTCACCTACCCCTCCCGTAAGTAAACATTTTGCCCTAAACGAGAAGTAAGCGGTAATGTTGGCTTAGAGGAGGGGTAGGTGGGCATTTTCACAGAAACCACCTAACTTGATCCTCACTAGGCACGTATGGTCAGTAACTGTTATGACTGTGAGTCCTCCGATATTATGCGCGATGTCAAATCGGAAACTAACGGCGGTTTCGTGGTGATTGCTTAGTGATCTCATGGAGATTTTCAAATAATTATGCCGACAGATTATTCGATTATGCGTGTTTGTCATATAGCACGGTCCGATCAAATTGTTTTTTCATTCCTTTAAATGAATTATCGCTTTCTTCGTCGATATTTACTTATCGTGGTGTTTATAAGTCTTAACTTACGGTACTTAGATAAGTATTGCGTCTTCCACCATGTGTTGATAAGAAGTCTTGTAAAAACTCCGTAAGATTCCAAGAGCTTTCTTTGTGACGTGCTAACTTACCCCGTTATTATTTTGAGATAGGGCCCTGTTCACACTACGCAAAAATTCTGTCAAAAGGAAGCCATTTCCAGTGCGAACGATTTTTTTTCACCGACCAAAATTTTCTCAACTGTCACAAGTTCAAAGATGCCGTCGAGAGGATTTGGAGGCCTACATTTTTTTTTTGTCAGGCGACAAGTTCGTTTTTTCCTTGATGTCTTTCCTTTATTGGGTCACCTTCTTTCGCGAACATGACCAATTAAAGTTCCTTTAATTGACGTTTCTGTGTAGACGAAAAATTTCGCTTGTCTCAGATGCGAACGAGGTTACAAAAACAAAAAATTGGTGCTTACAAAATTTTCAAATTTTTTGCAGACGCCAAACTTTTTATTTTTGTAGTAATGCGAACAGGGCCTATGATTAAAAGTATCCTGTCTACCTAGGGTGTGAAGATATTGAAAGATATCGAGAAGCGATTTAAAGGTTTTGAGGGAAGCAACAGGATCATGATACCTCTGTCAATTGAGGGACATGTTCATTATCTGATCAATGTGAGTTTTAGTTTCCTTTTTACATTATACTACTTCTACTGCTACTACTACTACTCCTGCTACTACTCCTACTACTACTCCTACTCCTACTACTACTCCTACTCCTACTCCTACTCCTACTACTACTACTACTACTACTACTACTACTACTACTACTACTACTACTACTACTACTACTACTACTACTACTACTACTACTACTACTACTACTACTACTACTACTACTACTACTACTACTACTACTACTACTACTACTACTACTACTACTACTACTACTACTACTACTACTACTACTACTACTACTACTACTACTACTACTACTACTACTACTACTACTACTACTACTACTACTACTACTACTACTACTACTACTACTACTACTACTACTACTACTACTACTACTACTACTACTACTACTACTACTACTACTACTACTACTACTACTACTACTACTACTACTACTACTACTACTACTACTACTACTACTACTACTACTACTACTACTACTACTACTACTACTACTACTACTACTACTACTACTACTACTACTACTACTACTACTACTACTACTACTACTACTACTACTACTACTACTACTACTACTACTACTACTACTACTACTACTACTACTACTACTACTACTACTACTACTACTACTACTACTACTACTACTACTACTACTACTACTACTACTACTACTACTACTACTACTACTACTACTACTACTACTACTACTACTACTACTACTACTACTACTACTACTACTACTACTACTACTACTACTACTACTACTACTACTACTACTACTACTACTACTACTACTACTACTACTACTACTACTACTACTACTACTACTACTACTACTACTACTACTACTACTACTACTACTACTACTACTACTACTACTACTACTACTACTACTACTACTACTACTACTACTACTACTACTACTACTACTACTACTACTACTACTACTACTACTACTACTACTACTACTACTACTACTACTACTACTACTACTACTACTACTACTACTACTACTACTACTACTACTACTACTACTACTACTACTACTACTACTACTACTACTACTACTACTACTACTACTACTACTACTACTACTACTACTACTACTACTACTACTACTACTACTACTACTACTACTACTACTACTACTACTACTACTACTACTACTACTACTACTACTACTACTACTACTACTACTACTACTACTACTACTACTACTACTACTACTACTACTACTACTACTACTACTACTACTACTACTACTACTACTACTACTACTACTACTACTACTACTACTACTACTACTACTACTACTACTACTACTACTACTACTACTACTACTACTACTACTACTACTACTACTACTACTACTACTACTACTACTACTACTACTACTACTACTACTACTACTACTACTACTACTACTACTACTACTACTACTACTACTACTACTACTACTACTACTACTACTACTACTACTACTACTACTACTACTACTACTACTACTACTACTACTACTACTACTACTACTACTACTACTACTACTACTACTACTACTACTACTACTACTACTACTACTACTACTACTACTACTACTACTACTACTACTACTACTACTACTACTACTACTACTACTACTACTACTACTACTACTACTACTACTACTACTACTACTACTACTACTACTACTACTACTACTACTACTACTACTACTACTACTACTACTACTACTACTACTACTACTACTACTACTACTACTACTACTACTACTACTACTACTACTACTACTACTACTACTACTACTACTACTACTACTACTACTACTACTACTACTACTACTACTACTACTACTACTACTACTACTACTACTACTACTACTACTACTACTACTACTACTACTACTACTACTACTACTACTACTACTACTACTACTACTACTACTACTACTACTACTACTACTACTACTACTACTACTACTACTACTACTACTACTACTACTACTACTACTACTACTACTACTACTACTACTACTACTACTACTACTACTACTACTACTACTACTACTACTACTACTACTACTACTACTACTACTACTACTACTACTACTACTACTACTACTACTACTACTACTACTACTACTACTACTACTACTACTACTACTACTACTACTACTACTACTACTACTACTACTACTACTACTACTACTACTACTACTACTACTACTACTACTACTACTACTACTACTACTACTACTACTACTACTACTACTACTACTACTACTACTACTACTACTACTACTACTACTACTACTACTACTACTACTACTACTACTACTACTACTACTACTACTACTACTACTACTACTACTACTACTACTACTACTACTACTACTACTACTACTACTACTACTACTACTACTACTACTACTACTACTACTACTACTACTACTACTACTACTACTACTACTACTACTACTACTACTACTACTACTACTACTACTACTACTACTACTACTACTACTACTACTACTACTACTACTACTACTACTACTACTACTACTACTACTACTACTACTACTACTACTACTACTACTACTACTACTACTACTACTACTACTACTACTACTACTACTACTACTACTACTACTACTACTACTACTACTACTACTACTACTACTACTACTACTACTACTACTACTACTACTACTACTACTACTACTACTACTACTACTACTACTACTACTACTACTACTACTACTACTACTACTACTACTACTACTACTACTACTACTACTACTACTACTACTACTACTACTACTACTACTACTACTACTACTACTAC